TGTTAGGTATGATTTAGGAATTTCGGAGATATTTGGCGTCAGCGTAAAGCCTTTTTTAATGACAAGTAAGTCGCCGGATTGACGGTGTACATATTACACGTTCGAGATATTATTCAGTTAGAATAAAAGCAGCGGGTTCATAATACTGTTGATACGACGAGAAACAATTCGATGAAAGGTTCGGTCCATTAAAGAAAGGAAAATATCGTTTAAAGCACTCCGACAAAATTAAGCTCCTTATCTGCCGCCGCAGTGTGTCACTTAAAAAATAATATTCTGACCTTAAACATATTATGTTACGTCTGACAATAATATTTGCTTTTCTACGACACGGCGATGACAACGACGGCGACGACGTTGATAATATTTCTTTGAGATGGGACACCCGCAACCGAGTGACATGCGTCTGGCGAACAAGGAAATAATATGCCGAGCTACCGTGTTGGTCGCCGACCCAGACTACGGTTATTTTTTTTTTTTTTTAACAAGCGCATCTCTAATAATGAGAGTTCACGAAAAAACACCATTGTCTCGGCAACAGTAAAAGCTGTCAAACCGACCAGACGGTTAACAAGAAACCAGTAATAAAAAGACCAAAACCTAGTACTTGAACATCGAAGACTAATTTTGTTTTTGGACTCCCTGGGACGGAAAAAATAACCCTATACTTGGTTTATTGACGTCTTAAGCGTCGGTGTTTTCGGTATTTTTGGCGTGCGTTTATTGCGAATAGAGACGACGAAGAGAAGTAAAATATTAATAATAATTATTGCACCGCCGCACACACAAACCGCAATATGGACGTCGTTTCGGTTTCATGATCTCCACTGTCCTCCGGTCGCCCAGTGCCGTCATCGTCGCCGCCACCTCAAATACCTCTTGGGGTGGTACCCTTAAACCAACGAGTACTACGGTTCGTTTCAACTGCGCCGTCACTGCCGCCGAAGAGCTGTCGGTCAGACAAAAAGTCTTCTATATTAAGGCAGAGGGAGAGATCCATTCGAATTTGTGGCCCGGGGCGTTCCGGGGCATCGGTTGCGATCATAAATCATCTCAACGTAAGATCTACAACGACCGTCTACGGCCTATAAGTATACACGTGAGTAGTACGATCATGTGTGTACGTGTGTGCGCGAGGACTAACAGCAAGTGCGTGTGTGTACGTGGACCAGATAATAATAATAATGATAATGTGCGTAAGAGACCCGCGGACGACAAATGCGTATACGGTGTATACATATATATGTGATTATTATTGTTGTTGTTATTGTGTTCTGCACCACGCCGTATAATAGTACGTTGCCAGCAGGAGAGAAAAACCGCCCGAATTTACTCGTTTTTGGGAGATTTAATAATGATCCGCCTTCGCCGCCTGCCGATCGGTTGGCGCCGTTTTTGGCGGACGGGCCGAAAAAAATTTGCAAGTAAAAAATCGTTTAAAATATGACGCGAAAAGGTCATTTAAGATTGTGCGACAAAACAACGTCGGAATGCTTGTTGTCCAAGCGCCGGCAACACATAGTACGAGAGATTAGGTCAGATTGTTACGGATGATTATGAAAACGGACACGATGTGTACGTTGTTATTAGGCATACCCGAAAATTAATAACAATACCCGAGGACGTATAGATTTTCGAGAGAAAATCCTATTTGGTACACAGTTTTTGGTTTTCACGGCTAACGAGTTATTGATATTTCGTTTGTTCGACCAACGCACAGTGTCGTCGTCGTCGTATAGAAAAGTACGTCTCCAGTAAATCGTTTTGAATAATAAACGATATTAGGTACACTTCTAGTCATAACAAAGCTAGTTAATGGATGTCAAGTCTCACTGGCCCGAGATAGTTTCACCGAGAAATATAATAAACAATAATTATCGTTTTGTATTTCATATATTACTCTGCTAGTTGGGACACTGAAATAGAAATTGTCAAAATTATATGTATGCAAGCGAACCCAGTAAAAATTATATTTTACTGCTATTATCGCTGTATAGTAAAAGCGTCTACAACGGCAGAAACAACACGTTTAAAAAATATCAGCTCAGTTTTTAATTTTGGATTAAAAAATTATTTCGTTTCAGCCGTTTCCTTGAATATTTAAAGTATCTCACTTGAAAAAAAAATTATGACCTAACCAAATCCAACCTAAGCTAAACAAAGAATTCACAGTCACAGTGACGCAAACTTTTGTTCGTTGTGGTACACAACGTGTGTTTAACGCGGTTATGGTTTAATGGACCCGGCAAAGTATCATTTGTGAGCGGCGGTTTTCAAATAGAAATTCGGCACATGTCTTTGAAGTCCCTCTGTACGCTTCCCGCTCACTATGCACATATAATACATGGCGGGTGGATATACACCCGACGGATCTACCTGAGGTCGGCGGCAATGCCCTTTGAAGTTAAAAACGCACGACGATTTTATTGCACTTAAGAGCGTATAAAGTGTTATATAATGTGCACATGAACATGTACTGTGTTTGTCGATCCCACCGCCTGTAAAATGCAAATACAAACAAACTTTTCCAGTTCACAACAACAAATAATAGATACGTTATTTTTTACGACGGCTCAGTGTAAATATGGACGCATTACGAGAGATGTCATATAAAATATGACATCTCTGTGTCTGGCGCATGGCTCACGTATCATGTGTACGATTTTAACTGGAAATACGTTGAAACTTTAGCGTTTATAACCGACACTCGCGTTGGGTCGTGTGAAATTAGTCGGTTAATGAAATCGACACTGACAAAAACTATATCGAGAGTCGATTAGAAAAGAAAGTGGTGGAACTTAAGGAATTCCTTGTGATGGCTTTGCGAAGAACACTAATGACTGACGGACATCCGACTTGTAAATGTATTTATAGTAAATTAATGAAACCAACAACAACACGCTTATGACAAAAAATGGTCGAAGGTAAAAGTTTGTAATGGTTTCTCGTCGAATACTTCTGAATATTAATTGATTAATTAAGAATAAATTGAGGATTTTTCTCTTTTTTTCATTTTATTATCGAATAAAACCAACCGATGTAGTATTATTACACGTACAGAACGCCGAAATGCAACGTTAATCGATCAGATATGGCCGAAAGGATAGGAGGGTTAGAACTGTCGTTGTCTGTGGTGTCGTCGTGCGGTTGTGTAGCGCACAAAACAACATTCACGACTCGGATTTATGGAAATGTACCATAATTATCTGGATACACGAGGAATATTCGATTGGTTAGTGTAGGCCGAACGAATGGCCTGCCACCATTCGAATGTAAAATAATAGCTGGTATACGAAATTACCATAAGATAGTTAATACCAGAACATTTATACGTATGGTAAGAGAAGTATACACTTGTGTAAAAAATAATAATAATAATAATTCAACTCGGGGTGACACTCGGTGTTCCGGTTACACCTTATTTCGAGGGGGTCCAATATTTTGTGCGCTTCACAGACGTCCAGGAATGAGACGGTTTTGTTTGCTTATCAAAAACAAGCACACGCGAGTATAGAAATACGACATGCTTAGTGACGTATTAAAATAATTTTTGAACAACGAGACCCGTTAGGCTGACAGACGTTTCGATATGACCCAAATATTTCTATTTTTAAGTTGTCGCACCACTGCGTTGTCAACAAGCTTATAACAATTATCGTATGTTGTTATTTATTATTATTGTACCTTCTCGTGTGTGTACGCGCCGCATGCGAGTCGAGGGGTGCTAAAGTAATATATCATCGTCCTCTGGTGAACTCCACACGAATGGAGGAGGAGGTGCATACAATGAGCGGTGGACAAAAGCCACTAAACGCTGCATAAATATTTCGCATGATGTTTCGTAGCGATTTTTGTACGGTGACAAGTGAGATTACAATTTTTTTTTATTTCACAAGGAACAGGGAAGTGTTAATGTGTGCGTCGATGTAACATGTACTTATTTCTCACGAGCATCGCGGTACTTTTGAAATAGCGCATCAATAAAATCATGTGTCAACACATATTCCGGGTTATATTGTATGTAAACTCGACGAAGTGGGTCTTTTGAATGCGTCGACGACGAAGAGGAAACAAACATCCTATTTTAAATGTGTACACTGAACTATTGTGTGAACGCACATAGGTGTAAAAAAGCCCGGCCGACAAAAGAGTGCATAATAAACCGGGCACATCGTTCAAAGGGTTGAAATTTTTTTCGGTTTTCGCTGAGAGATTAAGGAAAAATCTCGGCCTTGGGTTGTCATCGGAAATATAATTAGAAATACAAAGAACTGGTATTTGTTTATATAGTGTAGCAGACTTGTCCGGGCTCTGTGTACGAGAGTCGCCTCGAATTTGGCAATACTATAAATCTTATGAGAGAGTGACAGACTGACTAGTAGTAAAATATTACCAATATTATTTTTGCGGGTTCCCGTTTTTTCCAATACTCATTTTTTTACATTCTAAATCAAGTCTCGATACAAATACGTATACGTTTATTACAACAACATTAACGTATTCTGTTTGATTGCGCTGTGGTCGCCAAAATATTATAACTAAAAATCGTAGCACACAATACCATCAAATTTACTTGGATTGTCGAGTGCGCCTTTGAGCAATTGCATAATATAGCAAATTGAAAATTCGAAATACTCGTTCTTTCAGAAACGGGGAGAGACTTAAACGCATGTGAAGTAAGTAATAAAATATTACGAGAGACTTTAACGCATACGCGTGAGCTGAATGCGAATTACGATCGGCGTCCTCCATGTTTTATTTATAAGAAAGGGAAAAAAATCGCGAACATTTTTACAGCATAGAACATATTTTATCCCATTCATATATAGGTATATGTCACACACAGATATACATATATATATAAATCTTTTAACCAGACCACAACAAGCTCATCCTAAAATAACCTCAGACGAGGCTCTGTCCCACACTTGCTATCTCATGACGCGAAAGAGAATTGGGTTGTGCAGTTTCTTATAATAGTTGATTTTGCGGTTATTTACCTGTGTTTAATAATTATTTCCGGGCGCGTGGATACTATTGCCGTCGCAAATTTGGCGGCCAATTGGGTATGTGTTTGCGGTATAACGCGGGTAATCCAATTTGAATATTTTTTGTTCTGGCAGTACAGTACAACACTATCCGAATAGATTAAGCTCACATTTAATGAAATAAATACAAATGTCCGCGCACTTCCGAAAGTATATGGTTATGTTACAGTTATAGAACTTATCTCGGCGGTTTCTATCAGGCGACAGATAGCAAAAAATGCGATCAAATAGACGTGGAAAAACGAATAGAATGAAAAACGCACGCACAATGGCACTCGTCTAACGAAATTTCATGTATAAATATTTTACACTACAATTGAGATACATAAAAAACAAACAAGTGCGTCGAAAAAACGGTCAATCGCGAAACCGTCGTTTACACCGATCACGCACAGCGGCCGTATACTGACTGGAGACCTGTGCTGCCGACCGTTCCACGCGATAACTCGTTTTTTGTATTCGTGTGTGTGTACTACTCGGTTCCTCTCGGGTGTCGAACCGATGCGCGCGCCGTCGAGTCGAGGATCGCGGGGCCCGTGGACGTACTCGGCTATACGGTACAGCGGTGACCTGACAAGGACGGCTAGAAACTGGTTTTCCACCGCATAGACACGGCCGAAGCGGTGCGGGGTGCCCGCTGGAATGATAGCCGCATGACGGTGCGTGCGTACGCGGTCCCGGTGCACGCGAGTGAGTTTGTATTATGTGTGCGGCTCGGGAGAAACGTGTGTGCGTGTGCCCTTAGCTCCGAAAATGTGAGAGGACCGACCGCGAATTCCATCGGATGCACACTGCGGACATACCGCGAAAGTCGTCTGGTGTTTCGACTTTTTTTTATAAGGAGCGTGTGTTTGTTTAACACCTGAGCGTAATTACTTTTTTGTGGCCAGCACTCGTACACCGAAACGCGTAGGTACATATATTGTTGTTGATTCTGTTATCTGAATCTAAAATCTAGGATTTTCCCTTCACCTCCCCAACACTTCGGTCGTCGGTTGGCTAACAATACATCATTCCGTTATACACACTCTCGTTATGATATCTATAAATAATTTGACATTAAAATTACGGTTTTCCCTGGCCGTGATCCAATTAGGGGCAAATCACCGGAGTCGGTATACACATTTTGTCTATATGTTCCCGTTTGGAATTTCCAATTATAATTTAATAACCAATTGTGGCGATAATAATTAAAGTGTTTTTGAAACGATTGTAAAGAAACAAAATTGTCTTTAGTCTAATTACGTGCGAGTGACGAGTGAGCGTAAGACGAAAACCAGATTTTCGAGGTATCATTTTACTGTGGCAGTCGTGGAAGTATCATTATTTTTTCTTACTTATTTAACTGTAATCATAAGAAATATTTACATGTTATAATTTTGGTTCGACAATTAACCGATTTTAGATTGCCTCATATTTGTGGTGGTAATTTAATCTGTTTGAACTCTCTACGTCGAGTTATTAGAGTGTTTACTCTTTTCACAGCGTAGCCCTCTTGGAAGAGCACTTCCCGTATGTACCTACTGGCGAAAAAAAAAAAAAGAATCCGATGACAGATAAAAAGTCTCATTATTGTTGTTCCATTTTAATGACAAAATAACTGCGGTAGATTTGTGGGAATCATATTTTTACAATACGATGTATCTGATAAGCATCGCGGCGGCCTAAGTCGTCGTAATTGCATAATAGGGGACAGGAACTGTTGTCATTGAACAACAGACGACTTACGAGAAGACGACCAGTTATACTGTCATCATGAAATGTACAAATTACATTACTCGCGCAATGTCTCGTGTTAGACGATTTCGCTCCGAATTAGTCAACACGCGATGATGACTTTACCGTGTATATTATTTTAGTTAATAAGCGATAACCGGCCACTTTGAAGTGTACCAATTTTTCTTTGCCACTGCGTAATGAATGAGTAGAATACGTGATGTTTAAAGCTTACTCAATATTACATTTCGTATTGGCTCAGTTTCTGGGCAAAAGTAAAGAGATTTTCTACTGGCACAAATGTATATTATTTATGGGACTTTTTACGCACAGTAGTCGGAATAATGAATTTTTATGATATTAACAAACGCGAAAGGAATGCGCTCGAGTCGTTTAAATTTTTAATTGAAAATTACAAATACTTTTTAACTAAAACCAACGAGTCACGCGAGATTAATTATTTTTTTACGTAATATTTTCATTGAATAATACTGAAAATAATGCTGGTTTTTTTTAAATACTGATTTGAACACTGTCATTGCTAAAACTTCAGCTCATCGATATTTTCGGAACAATTTCAATTTTGTGTTTAATTGTTTTCTTCTCAAAGTGAAAACCAGTATAACTACAAATCGTGTACACAAAAAATGTACAGGCGTTATAACAAAAACAAAAGTATAGCATAGAAATAACTTAAATTCATAATTACTTTGATTTTCATTTGAGTTTGGTCGGTCAAAGGTTTTATTTTCTGGCGAGAACAAAAATTTAAATAGTAATAATATCAGTACAAACATTTCGTTTTTCATCCACTCGGATCATAAATAATAAAAACATTAATTTTCTGGCATTCTCGAAAAAATTTTGTTGACGGTGACGTTATTTTATTCAACAGCAATAATTAACTTTTGCTTTCGTCAACTGGGTAGTATTTAAAAAAAATAAATAATGGAATTTCATAGTTATTATAATTCATAAACGTAATTTTTGTCCGGTCCAGTAACAATCGGATTCTGACTTTTGTCTCATAATTTATGATATTTATAATACAAGAACATTGGACGTACTATGTAAAATACCAAAGATTTTAGCTTATTTATTAGTTAGGCGGTAGCCATTCATGTCGTATCTATTAAATAGTGTTACCAATGTAGTGAAATAAACATAATAAAACGTATAGTATAAAATATTAGGCAATACGATCGGCTTAGTAAGATAATTTTACATCCGAAACAAGTTGGCCGCACATAGTTTGAGTTAATCAATTATTTGAACATTGTTAGTTATGATTTATAAAGACAACTGTCATCTGCAAACTCCTTACAATATTTATTATGTTTAAAACAACTCTTATATTCGGAAACCAGCTACTTTGGCTACCATTTCAGAATGACAGTTGCCATTTCAATCAGTAAGTTCAACAACTCCATCGGTACATTATATGTTTTGTGTTTAATTTTGTTTAAATATATTATTGTAACCTCCAGATTTTTGCTCTGTCAGGTTTCTACAATATGAAGCGCAAGGGATAATTTTAAAATAAGCAAGTCATGGACTAGATAAGGTAGTATAATTTTGTTTTTACAAGTGTGTATTCCGATAAGGTAGGCAACGTATTATTGCCATTAGTCGTTTTATTGACTAGTCGTATATTAAAATAATTATTACTATTTTACTACAAGTATAAAAATATGTAGACGTAAGTGGTTAGGCTAAATTTTTTTATTTTAGCATATTGGTTAGGAACGTTTTATACGATTTCTTGCACTATATACTTTTACCATAATTGTATTGAAATTTTACACGTTCTATGAGCTACGAAAGTTCATGTTGACTCAGATAAGTCTGGTATTTAAAAAACACTGGATAATTAAACTGTTTCTTCAATTAATTCATTTCTCGTCGTTCAAGCCTTGTTAGTTTCCCATCGGAAACGAAGTGAAAATCATAATTAAAGAATACCTTCGAATGTCTTTATTTTGCTTAAATTATAATATTCTTTAAAGCTAATTCCAAATAGAATATTAACTATAAATACAGAAAAAACAAATTATGATAACCGCTATTGTTAAGAAGTTTCACATAATCTCAACCATAAAAGCGTATGGATATATGTGAATAAAGCAGCGAATTATCCTTGAGACGTGTAACATTAAATATAGAAATGTTTGAATTTGCATACACAGTGATAGTTTATTTGATGTAAAATCACTGTAAGTAATAATATTATTCGGTAGTCGAATAATGAACAGTATTGCGTTACACGCTGACCGTCTATTCGCATTTATATTACTATTATTATCGTATAGACGCATAATTATTAATAAATTTTATCTCGAGGCTGTGAAATGCAATACTCCGAAAAGTCGGAAAAAAAATACACTAGTAAATAGCAACGGGTTAATACTCGCGTTGGCGTCACACCGGTGGTGCACAAATGTTATTTTTATTATCTTTTTAATTCATTTATTTTTCGTTTTCCAATCACGGACAAAATAAAAATAATGACTACTACTGCCTACTGAAGTGCTACTATCAAATTGTTTTGAACTGTACAGCCGCCTAGAAAAACTTTTTAGTCCATAACAATTCAAATGAGTTCGGTCTAATGATAATTATACTATTGTAAAGAATGTCTTGCGGTGTTAACTCGACTGAGATATTTTAGCGTGTGTAACAGTTTGAATAAATAATTAAGTAACCAGTAGCCGCTGTACGCAGTAATTGTCAGGGCCAGAGGATATGTGTAAGATATATTTTAGATCATTATTATTAATCATTATTTTCGTTTTGAGTATTTGAGTAATTCGATTTTTTATCACAGCCATAAAACACATTTGAAATTTTGCTGACCAACAACGCCCTTCCGCGTGGTATTTAAATCGTGAACACTTTTAATAAATTCACATTATTTGATTTGTTGACGAAGATTTTCAAAATTTTCACAATTCTTACTTTACGTGGGGAGCGAATAGAATATAATGAACTATTATATAACTACGTCCTACCACATTTGTTTTTTTAACTCGTTATGTAAATTTATACTTTTTAATATTAAAACCCTAGATTTATTAATATGAATTTATAAAACTTTTTATAAATTAACAGAATTTTTCAATTGGACGCTTTTTGTGTTTAAAAATACTTGTATAAAAAAATGCAACAAAATTTTGTCGGTACGCACACGAACAAGTTTTATTTTTACATTAGGGTGGTCTAATCAAGAAACGTAAGTTAATTACCAGTTAAAACAGTTATGCTTTTACAAGAGTTTTGTTGAAATAATATTTTTTTCAAGAAATCACGAATTATCGATAATAAATAAAAATAACTCCATTTGCTGTTGTAGTATAGTAAATTTCATGGTGTACATTTTTTGAAGGAGCAGAAAGTCTAATAAAAATATACTTTTTAAATGCCGCCAAAATTTGTAATTGGTCCAAAAATTACTATAATTTATGTTCCAAATAATCAAGTGAAATGTTTTCTCTGTTTTACAGTTTTTATTTCTGGATATGAAATACCCAAAGTTATAATTTTCTATATTGTTTTAATTGACATTGAAATCTTATTTTACACTTATATTTACTGAAATTTCATCCAATTTGAATGTAATATCTATGGAATATATTGCCATAAATACTGATACTTTTAATTTATAACCTAATTTGACTTCTTTGAAACATATGTTTCCATTATGATACT